GCATAACATTGTATCCATCATCACAAGTCTAGCTGTTTAATGCATAAGCACCAACTTGGTCATGGTGATAGCGTGGATCTAGACACAAGTCTCCTTTCTAGAACTTTTGGATGACAGTTCCCATCACAACAGAAGCAAAAATCCCATCACCTTGTCTTACTTGAAACAGGAATTATCCCTATTATTATTTAGAGGAATATCCTTCACCAGGTCCTTTTATGCCTGTACACATTTCACAAGGACCTTCGGGGAATATGGCATGGTCATAATGCAGAAGTATGTAGTTCTTCTCAGTGCCAGATTAGAACTGCTCAAGCAAAGCATTCCCTGAGTTACACAGAGGCAAGTGGTTCAGTCAATTTCATTGTTTACAGCCATACTAGAGGAATGAGTGATATACATGCTACGACTGGAGATGTTTGGACAATTCTGTTTCACAAAAGCTGGCTTTACTCCGACACAGCATGCCAGAATATCACTAAAGTCTCTCATCCAAGGGAATCCTAGATTTGCATATTTGCAGAATGGTTGTTGCTGTAGCCTCCTTTGGACTTCATCTGTTCCTGCGCTGGCCCAACCTAGAAAGAATATTGTAAGAGTACCTTGAATTCTAGTTCAACTCATCATCTCATCCAAATAGCCCAGGCCAATTAATAAAGCACTATATTAAAATAAGCTCTTTAATTCCACCCCAAACATAGTCTGCTGCTCCCTGAAAATTTAGGTCATGGCTCTGATCAGCTTTTAGTGGAACTGAATTTCTCCCAGGTATGGAGGGAACCCTTACAGGTACACACAACCTTGATTTTACTAGCTATTTCATTAATATTAATACTAGAAGTCACTTTTGCAACAAATACGTAGCCCAATTTTATGCATGTTTCTCAGAAGCAAGTCCCAGTATGTTCAATGTACATAGGATTGCAGCCTATAATGACTTATTTGGGCGCCTCACAATTTAAATTTTCTTGTGTTGGTAAAAAAAAGACTATGTAAGTTACCTTGAATGTCAGTATTACTTAAAAGGCAATGTATAAATACTGTAAAGTGCCTATGAATCAATTAAGTACAGTTGCATCAGCAATATAGAGACAACATGGAGTGCAGAGAAACTAGTAACTTTACAAACAAAAATTAATCCCCTCACCAAAAGTGCTTCACTCCACACGCAACATTTTAAATTATGTGTCACTTGAACTTTAGATACAGATATTTATTTAAATATTCATATCCTGCTTTTCTCCCTCAAATAACTTTTTAATGTACTCACAGCAACAAAAAAGAAAGAAAAGAAACACAAAACAAAAAAGATATTGAGTTACATTTTAGAACCCAGGAATACTAAACTAAGAACCTCCCATTTTATTCTATTAATTCTACTACAGTCCAATGGCCACACTACACATGGTGAAATCTCTCTACATTAACTTATCACGGATATAGTTTGACTTTTTCAACCAGCATATACTTACAGATGGAAAGCAACTGGCTGCTCCTTTTGTTCCAACATGGGTGATGTGTACAAAGTTTGTCGGTTCTCCTATCATGTTCCTGTCAAGTCTTCTGTGCCTCTTCTTTCAAATGGGGAGGGGGGGGAAACTCAAAGATTTTTAACCAGGCTAAATCCTAAATTATTGCAACTGTTACAATTAACTCCTGACATGTTATCATTTTTGTGCAATATATTTGTGTCTCTGCCTGTTGTCAAGTGAATTACAACTCTTCTCCATTCCCTACATAGCTAGACTTGCTATTCATACCCTCATAACATTCCCAGTAGCACCAACTCCCTTAACAACTGGAACATCTTAATTGGCATTCCCCTAAGTCTTCACTAGGGTTTATATCCTAGCTAGTAAAAAACCTCTGAACTTGCTTTCTTTTTGAGCATGTAAACTCAGATGATCTTGTACAAACAGCAATTAAACCTATCTCACCAATGAAGATAGATAACTAAAACCTGCTCAATTTGAGTCCAGAAGCACTTTAGAGACCAACAAGATTTTTGGGATACAAGCTTTCAAGAACCAAAGCTCTCTTCATCAGATACAAATAGGAATGGAGATCAGTCCTAATATCCCAGTAAGAAGATAGGAAGAGTGTTTCAAAGAAGGAGTAAGGAGTTGTTCTTAGGTCAACTTACGGGCTGGGGCTGGTCACCAATGCAACAATTGAAACAAACCAGAAATTCTGTCATTGCAGTGTTCAGCCTGAGAGTGAAAAATAAGAGCTGGCAATTAGTCTTGCCACAGTTAAACAGGTTACTGAGAACCAACATACTATTTTTCCTCACGATAACATTATTAACCATTTTTAGTAAGATTTAGTTTAGTAATTTTCTGATGACATACCTAACCTAGGCAACATTCTCTCTCTCTCTCTCTAGGCAAACCTAAACACCAGAAATCAGTTTGAGAGAAGTTGCTAAATTTGCTTTATGTTACATACCACACCTCAAGAGAAGTCCTTAGTACAAACTAGACTAACTCCCCTCCCCCATTACTGAAAAAGCAAACAAAAGGATACTTTGTATCACATCCTTTATACTCCATAAGACCTTTTAAGGTAAACAGTCTTTTAAATTAGGAATGCCTCAGAAATTGAAGTTACGTGTGATAGTGTAGCACCACCAAGTAATCCACTTACTCAAGAGCCACTTATTTTGCTTTAACTAGTTTGATTTAAGTTTATGCCTTTTAAAGAACATGGCTGAGTTCATTGCATTTTGGATAACGAGTGTATTGTAACTAATATAATAGCTTACTATAACCTACTTCTTCATTGCATATATTAAAACTTTTACAAAGAAAGGACAATTATTTAAGAATAAACTCACAACCAAGTCTGAACTAACAGCATGCATAAACATAACAGTCTCCTTAAAAAGGAAATAAAATAATTAATTAGCTCCTTCTAAAGATACATGATTAACCACTCACCCCATCTATCCTCGTCACCTAATCAAATTAGTTTACCAGGTTTCTTCAGCATCCTGGCATTTTTTTGAATCCTCTGAGTGGAGTACTTGTTCCTTCTTTTATCTTGCAGTCCTTGGCACATTTACTTGAAAGCAACTCTTGCTGAGTTCAGTGGCACTTACTTCCAAGCAACAGTGCATAGCGTTAATTGCACCTGGCTTCTCTCAATTAACATCTTAAAACTACACCATTGCAGTCAGTGGGGCCTCTGTAATTGTTTGGGCATAAATGTGAGAAGTCAGAAACAAAGAAGAATCAATAGGAACTAGATTTTATTTTGAAGCCTTGTATCAGTCACTGAGGCTTTCTTATGAGTATGCATTGCATAATTTAACAAGGACTATGTGGGGTTAATGCGTGCTTGAGGCTTGCTACCACCTCTTTCTTTTCCTGTCAAGAGATCGATCTGTGCCTTTAATGACAGATTTCAGAGTGTGTTACTCCGTTGCAGCCAAAATCTCATCATCCTGTTGTGCATTAAAAAATAACAAATTTAGTGTGGCATAAACTTACATGAGCCTGACTCCACTTTCAGACGCCTGTTTTAACTGTTTGTGACTTTTATGGTAAGCCACCTTGAACTATTAGGGAAGAAATAATAAAAATAATTAATAAATGTCCTTTGCTGCAACTGTGGAGTCTCCAGACAGAGGACACATAGTATCTTCTAGGACCAAACAAAATGACATGAAAGTGTTTTAAGTTTTTGACTTCTACAGAGCTCTTTCTCAGGCTGGAGATTTAACCTGCTCCCAGCACCATCAACATTTCAGACAAGGATGTTGGCAAGACATGGATCATGCCTTAAGATCATGGCTGGAAACATCACTGCCCACTCCCCCGCCCTCGGGAACATGTAGCCTGATGGAGTTTGGAGAAATCAAATGCATGCTTACTTTGTTGTCTCATTTTGTGTGGTGTAAAATGCCCTCAAGTTGCAGATGACTTATGACAACCATTAGACTTGTCAAGGCAAGAGAGGAACAGAGAGGGTTTGCCATCATCTGCCACTATGTAGCAATCCTGGAACTTCCTTGGTGGTTTCCCAAGTCTTGCTTAGCTTTTGAGATCTGACTATACTGGATGATCCTGGTCAGGGTATTTTAGCTGGCATTAATAAAAGATGTTCTACCGCTTGTGTGTGTGCACATCTTTGCTTTGGAACAATGCAGCGACCAGCAACCTCCTCCTTTTTCCGAACCATTTTTATCCCACCTATCTTCCAAGGAACTCAGGGCAGTTTACAGAGATCCACCATCTTCCTAATTTTTTTAAAAAACAGATAATTGAGCAGAGTGTACAAAAGCATTTCAAAAAGTAAAATAGCAATTCGCTTGGTTTCCATCTAGTAGATAAGAATGGATTTATGTTCACTTTTCTTTCTTTGGCTCCGACCACAGCAGTTGTATCTTTATTAAAGGTAAAGGTTCCCTTGCTCGAAAGCCAGTCGAGTCCGACTCTAGGGTTGCGGTGCTCATCTCCGTTTCAAAGCCGAAGAGCCAGCGCTGTCCGAAGACGTTTCCGTGGTCATGTGGCCGGCATGACTAAACACCAAGGCGCACGGAACACTGTTACCTATCTTTATTAGGACAAAGCAAACGATACTTTTTCTAAGGAAGTTAAAGTAAACGTTAAAAATAAAACATATTTTTCTAATATGAACGATGAACTTTTTCTAAAATATTCCCTTTGCTGTGGGTGGGTGTGTTTGTTTGGCGGGCGGGGATTTGAGGCCGAAGCACCAACACAGCCGCCCTCCACCCCGCGCCGCCGCCCTTCCTCCCTCTCAGGAAAAAACGCGCGGAGAGAAAAGCATTACAAGGTCGTGAGGGGGAGCGACCATGACCAAGAAAAAAGCGGATGGCCAATGGGGGCGCTTGGAACACTTCTTTCTGCCTTTCAATGGTCGCCGAGGGCCGGCGCGCCGAGCCGGCTGGCGTTTCCAGGCCTTCTATTGGCGATACCGAGATATCCGGTAGCCAATCAGCGCCGTGGGTGTGAGTGGGTGGGAGGCACTCGGCGCCGACGGACGGGCTTCTCTCTTTCGCTGAGCGGCGCCGGCGAAGCGTGGACGGGTCTTCCCTGCGGCCGTTCCCTGGAGACTATGGCGGCTCTTAGTAGCTGACGTTGGCGCTTCTCCTTCTCCTCCCCTCTTCAGCCGCCCTCTTCTCTCCTGGCTCCCGCTTTCTAAGTACCACCTTTTGTGGGATAATCGCCGGCGCCTTCGCCCACCATGCAGGTCATCATCGGCATCGGCGGGTGAGCGGATGGGGCGGGGAGAAAGTGTGTGTGTGTGTGTTGGGGAGGGGGGTGTAGTCTGCACGTGCGGCGGGAGGGAGGGTCCGAATGAACCAGATCGGGGAAGTGTGTGTCGCCGGCCCGTTTTAAAAATCTTTAAAAAACCAACCCAAAAGTCCTCCCTCTCCACAATTGACTCCCGGTAAGTAGAAAGCACGCGCAACGGTGACAAGCGCTGGCTGGGAAGCTCCGCCTTTACGAACAAGTTGTTCGTTGGGAGTTTTCCGTGGCATAGTAACAACGACGAAAAAATGAAGGAAAAAAAAACCCCGCACGTGCACGATTGGCGATTCGGGAAGTTTCTGTTCCCACGTGTTTCCCGTTGCGGTGCTGCTTCGATGCAGTGTGTAAATGGAGGGAGCCCGGCATACCTACGATCTTGATCTTGTATCTCCGCTGCCTCAATTCTGCTACTCTTTCCACCATGAAGTTTGCGGGGTGATCGCGTAGTAAGGCTCGTTTTTGTATCCCGCAGATTAACATACTACGCAGGTTTCTCGTGAGAGTAAAATGTTGGGGTGGGGCATATACGCCACTCAGAGCTTTGTGGAGGAAGATGGGGGTGGATATATAAAATCTCAGCATAGGAACATTAAAAGTGTAAGCCAGATCCTTCAAAACAAATAGGTTTTAAAGGTTAGGGAATGTTGTGAGGTATATGGGGGTATGAGGTGTGGTAATGGGTTAAAAATTGGGGGGGATATGAAAGGTTTAATTTTTAGAGTAAGAGGAAGTTGATTAGATTAATAAAATGCCTATTCTCTGATACTAATCTTATTGATTAATGACCCTAAAAACATCCTTTTGTATTTGTAATGTCACCCTTTTTTCTCTCTTTGCACCCCTTTCCCATCTGACTTAAGTTTGTGGGGATGGTTTTTCTATATTAAGACCAGCTCCTTCCCCCTGAAAAAAGCAGCAAAATTAATCTGTGCTACTTTGCCATAGGTAGACAACTAAGCACATATATGGCGCTAGCTTGCAGGAGAGTGTTAAAATGGAAACAACAAGCTGTATTTGTAATTTACAGTGCTACCTTCTCTCAACCTATGGTTTCTTGGGTTTTTTATGCACTCACAGTTTATTAATTTCTGTAGTGAACAATAATACAGATTAGTAACCTTATTTTCCATCAATCTATTAAATTATTCATCCCCAAAGTTATTTATTAATAGAAAGTGTTCTCAAACTAATCCACTAACTCCTGTTATACCTTACTAACCCAGAATTGCTTCCTATTCTGAATCCTGTTACCTTGTAACACCCATTAGATATAGTTCCATTCAGTTTCCTGAGTTCTTTTTCCATATTTGTGTTACTTACAATACACATATCAACATAATAACTTACGCTGGGCATTCTTCTGTTTACTATTACATACTTCCAATCTAATTTCTTCTTCAGAAAAGCCAGCTTCACCAAAAAAGAAAACCAAATGGGGCTGCCTCTCATTCCTAGGGACGAGGCATAGTTTCTTGTTTTTAACAGTCTTTAACTATTTATTTGTTATACCTGTTTTAATTGTTATTGTGGAATTGCTGCTGTAATCTGCTAGAGGCGGAATCTGCATTTGTCTTTCCCACCAGTGTCCCAGCCTTTTGACTCCGTCTTCAAAAAAGCTGTCTACATTTGGTGTCGTTTTCACACCTCAAGAGTGTTCTGCATGTCCACATATGTTTATCATCCTTTCGGGCAGCTCCACTGTCATTGCACCACACTGCTTTAAAAGAATCTTCTCCAAACAACATTCAAACAAGCATAGAGAAAGATGGTGTCACAGCAACACGAAAATGACTTAAAAATGCAAATGCAGATTTGGCCTGAGTCTTCTTGCGGGGAGGGTGGAATAGAAATTAAAGAAATAAATAATAAAATAAACCAAACAACTATGGGTGGGGTGTAAGAAAGGGAAGGCAAACAGTGGGTGGGGAGTAGAGAGTGTATTTTTAGTCAAGATGTATTTTGGAGTCACAGGAAGTGCAGCAGTCTTGAAATCCACAAAAGAAGGCTGTTACAATCTTTGTTTACTGAGAAGCTGCCCGTTGTTTTCCAGTGTTGGATTTTGCATACATTCTGATATAACTTATAACCTACTTCAACCTTCTTATAACCTACTTCAACCTTCTCTTCCCCCCCCCCCCAAATTCCTGTTTCAGGGTCACCAATGGTGGGAAGACCACCCTCACCAACAGACTCATGCAAGCTTTACCCAACTGTAGTGTTGTGCACCAGGATGATTTCTTTAAGGTGAGCCTGGCAATGAGGTTAATAGTCTTCCTCCTATCTAAGCCCCTGCATTTCCTGCAACAGTGGTTACAGTTGGCCTTCACATGACCACTAGGTAGGAAGCTTCCTCTTCAGATGCCTGATTGTGCCAGTCTGCAGGTGAACAGTTTGCATTAGCGTCTGTGGAATGTTTGCCTGCATTGAAAACAATAAGTATCTGGCAACCATTTTTAGTAGTCTGTGTACTAAATGCTACAACAAACCAGCCGGTGTACAGGATGCTTTTGTGCTATGGGCTGAATTCTTAAAATGTGGGCTGCCCTTTGTAAAAGCATTAGTGCAGTGTCTGTGGAGAGTATAGTGTCTAGAGTCTCCTGTAGGATACAAAGATACTGGAATACTTTGAAAGGTGATTTAGTTTAGTAATGTTCTGACATTACTTATACACACACTGGGTTGATCTTGGCACACTGCTAATTTTCATCTTGGAAGAGCAGCACAGGTAGAATTCCCATTGTGACCCTGCCAGAGCAGTCACCCTCATCTCTGTGCTGAATGGCAGCCACGATATAAAAGAAGCAACATGAACTGGGTCTGATTTGTTTAAGAATCACATGTCCTGCAAGTAATACGTTCACTTGAGTAATGTCGAGTTCAAGTTCAAAACCTTTATTGGCATAGAACTTTAGTAATGTCAACAAAAGTGGGAGTTGCCACTTTTTTTTTTTTTGACATTGCCGTTATAGTTTGAAATTTAAGGTACACTTTTGTGTGGGAGGGAGGGTGTTAAGTGCATAACTGAACACTTTTATGGCATTTCATGTTTTCTGTGATTTCATGCAAGTGTATACAAACAAATGAAAAATCCCCACACGGTTTGATACCAGATACTTCTTGGCCAGGCCAGTTTTTAGTCCTTAGGATCATAAGGATAGATTTGTGTGTGAGAAGCAGTTGGTGTTTGCAAAGGTTTAAGGACTTGGCTTGGTCTTTGTGCATGGCTAGAAGAAATAGGGGGGAAAGCACAATGACATGGATTTGCTTTTGTTATGTAATTTATTTTGTTTGCAAATATGGACTTTCCGGAGCTCAAACTGCGTGCAATGGATTTGCATGTTTAAGTTGAGAATCTGCTCCAATCACGTAGAACGGAGGAGGGAAGAAGGAATCTGTGTGTCAGAATCCTGGTTAAATCAGTTCTCAACACCACTCACTTTGAAGAAAGCTTAGTTTATTGAGATGTTAAAGAAGGCTGAGTGCCGAAGAATAGATTCTTTTGAACTATGGTGCTGGAGAAGACTCTTGAGAGTCCCTTGGACTGCAAGAAGATCAAATCAGTTAATCCTAAAAGAAATCAACCCTGACTGTTCCCTGGAAGGCCAGATAATGAAACTGGAGCTCAAATACGTTGGCCACCAAATGAGAAGGGAGCACTCACTGGAGAAGACCCTGATGCTGGGAAAGATTGAAGGTCAAAGAAGACGGGGACGGCAAAGGATGAGATGGTTAGACAGTGTCATTGATGCAACAAACATGAAGTTGAGCCAACTTCAGAGGACGGCGGAAGACCGGAAGGCCTGGCGTGATCTGGTCCATGGGGTCACGAAGAGTTGGACTCGACTGTGCGACTGAACAACAAAAAGAATACTGAAGGTGAAAGTGTGGAGATTGCAGAGGCACTAAAGATCAGGACTCATAGCATTTGCCCACCAGGAATTATGGTAAACTTCCCCCCCCCCCCACTAAGCACGTACCCCTCTACAGAAATAAAGCAAAACAATAGGTCTCTGCGACATATCAAAGCATTTAGGAAAATGAAAGCATTTGGTTTTCACACCCCTCTTCCCCTCCTCCTTCCTCTATGGCAGGCGAACAATAAAATGTATTCTGAGCCTGATACTGTGTCTGATTTTTAAAAGCCACTGGCATTGACAGGTGAACAGGGCTGAACCCTTCTGGCTTTCTTTGCTCCTGCACACACTGATTGTAGTAATGTTGTGGGACATTATTCTGTGGTGCAGTGTGAGCTCCAGATATGTAGGTTTGGTGCAGTGTGAAATTTGCCTACCTCCATGTTCAACATACCTTTGTTCCCTGTTTGTGACCTAAATTGTGGCTCATGCCATTCCGGTCATGAGTCTTTCCCTTTAAATTGTTTATGTTTTGCAAGATATCAGTTTGTGGGGGGGCTGGAGCAGGAGACTGCTCTGCATCCACTGGATAACACCCTGGTGTGCTGTCTGGATGACTTTTGTTTTGCAAAAACTCAGTGCCAGTCCTGAGATAAAGGCAAAAGTGTCATGTCACCACTTTGTAGTTCTGTGCTGCCTTGGTTTGCTGAAAGTTGGCAGCAGCAGGTAGTCAGGATATGTTACCCGTTTTTTTCTTCTTAAAAAGGGTGTTGAATTTTGTGAGCAGCTCTGCAGACAGTTTTTGTTCTGTTTCAGCCCCAGGATGAGATAGTGGTTGAAGATGGATTTAAACAGTATGATGGTAAGTTCTGTTTATATCCATGGAGTAATTAGTTTATTTTGAGAAGAATCTGTCACTCTAGTTCTGGAAGGTGCATTTTGCATGATAAAAGTATGAGCTGATAGGCTCTGGAACTCAGGCTGCTTGTCTCTTGTGGGCCTCATCACTGAATGGCCCTAATTGCATTCCTGGTCTTTTGTCTTAGTTATCAGTGCTTTGGATATGGATGCTATGATGAATACCATCAATGCCTGGAAGAAAAACCCAATCAAGTTCGAACGATCACATGGCATTAACACTCTAGATGCCAGAACGATAGAAGATTCAGAGGAGAAGGACACCACCATCCATATCCTTATTGTTGAAGGGTTTTTACTTTATACTTGCAGGTAACTAAATCACACTGATACCTTGTTAAACAAGTTTTGAATGGACAGTTACGTCATAGTCTCAGGACATGTCAGATACACCTCCTGTTAGTCTAAAAAACTCCAAATGCTGTAGGAAGGCTACATTGTCTGATCAGATTCCTGCTTACTCTCAGCAGGTATTCAGCTGATATAACGGGTGCTGTGTGGGAAGTCTTGATTAGAGAGGCACTTGAAAGCAGGTTGCAGTAAACTTTCACTGCTCCTGTGCCTTCTGACTGTGTGTGTGAAGAACTACTTGTTTGTCTGTTTACTGTGGCACAAAAGCAGGAAAGAGGCACAAAAGCAGGAAAGAGGCAGTTGGGTGTCAGTGCGTTGGACATATCATGATGGGAGAGGCTTGGCAGAAGTTAACCTATTAGTAAGCAGTGCTCTGTGTTCTTAGTCACAGGTTTTACACTGCTATTAGTTTAATGAGTGTTTGGATTAATCAGAGATTTTCTTCGTCTCTTTGCAGTGGCTTTTAGACTAGGATAGAGTGGGGTTTGCTGTTGTGGCCCACTGCTTTTCTGTCAGTGAGGGTTTGCAGAGGTAACAAAAACGCTCTTATTTATGCTGCATATGATCAGTGTTCAAAGTGCTTTATATACAGTCCCGAGATCAAATCTGTAAGAGGTTTAGCCAGCATTCCCCACACTTGACAGCTAATGGCCAATCAGCATGACTTCTGCAAAGCAAGAGTCCTGCCTCACCAGTCCTGTAAAGACAGATCAGCAGACTTGCTGGGGGTTACTTGGTGGTGTTGTATACTCAGACTTCTGAAAAGCTTTTGACAAAGCCCTTTGCCGAAGGCAAATTCAACTTAGTGAGTAAACTTAGCAGGCATGGAGTAGTAAGATGGATCTTTTTGTGGATTGATAACTAATTAAAGAGGGAACAATTTTACAGTAGAGGGCAGGTAAGCAGTGAGGTTAACTGTATAGAAACCAGGACATTTTCTTTTGCAGACCCTTAATTGATGTGTTTGACTACCGATTCTTTCTTTCTATTCCCTATGAAGAGTGCAAGAAGAGGAGAAGGTAGGCCTTTTAAAAAGAATAACAAACAGCTGCCATTTTAATTTTCTTTTGTATTCATATACTGCTTTTCTGTCAATGCATTCAAAACAATTTACAGACTATTTAAAACAATACAGTGGCTGAACAAAAAAATAGTGAAGGATCAACCAGTGGCTGGTAGCTTAGGTTTCTTTCTTGTGTGACTCAAGAAGGAAGCTGTGGGAAGCTGTTTGTAAGCTCTTGATCTGTTCAGGGACTGAAGGCCAGCACTCCTTGGCCTGGGAGCTGAACGGTGCCGAAAGGGCTGCCTGACTGAATTCCCTTAGGCTTGGATTAGGCAGTCCCCAGCCCACACGTTGACCGTGCCAAAGCAGCCTGTTATTCTTGGCCCTCAGGGCAAGATTCCCCCAAGGCACTGGTAGCTCAGCAGTGCAGAAGACAGTAGGAGCGACTTATGCCCATAATCACCTCCCAGACCTGCACAGCCCCCAGTCAAGATCAAGGCAAGTACTTGAGTTGCTGATGGGGCTTGGCTTGCTCCAAGCATGTCTGGCCAGGTACACTTGCCTCCCCTCCAGCCAGTTGTGTTTGCCACCATGTTCACAGCTGCATTCCCCCCCCCCCAGCAATTTGGGCCACAGAGGGGTTGCCTACCCACGTCTTAGATGTGTGCTTCTCTTCAGGGGGTGCAAGAGGTGTTCTCTAATCTGGATGTTCACTTTCTGCTCTGCTGATGATTCTGTGGTTAACTGGCTCGAACTAAAGATTAAATTGAGATTAATTCTCTTCCCTTCAAAAACACCTAGTTCAAGGAATTACACTGTCCCAGATCCACCCGGATTATTTGATGGTCACGTCTGGCCCATGTATGTCAAACATAAGAAGGTAATGGAAGATCTTCAGGTTGATATAGGTAAGTGAATTGAGTAGAAGGAGCTTGCTTGCTGGTTAATTTAAAATATGATCTCTGTCAGAAATGTGTCACTAAAGCTGTTACGGAAGCACTGTAAGCATTGCTAGTTAATGGGCCTTCATAATTGTCTACATGTTTGAATAGTGCAGATTTAAATTAACAGCCCAATAGTGCAAGTAATTCAGTGTGGGTTGTCTGCTTTTTAAATTTAAATTAGGCTTCTTAGCTGCCCTGAATCATTGACATGGGTAGAAAAGTAGCATGTAAACATTCCAGATAGCTAAATATTTGCATTTATTCCCCACCCACCCCAAAACAAACAAACACCTGTTGGCTGTCACCCCTTGCCAGTGTAAATGCATGGAATTCTGAAGCTGCGGCGTGTGGAGGACCTTGTGCTCAGCCATGTGTTCTGTGTTACCTGCTTCTGATTTGGAGAATACATGGCATGCCCCTGTGTTAGAGCACGCAGCTCTGTCTTTTTGTTGTTGAGGTTCTTGCCTGGAGGCATTTTCCCCCTTCATTGCATCCAAGAATGCAGCTACACAATCTTCAGCACCTTGCTTTAGGACGCTCAAAGTGATGATTACAAAGGAGCATCAAAAGCACCTGTTTGCCTTTTTTAGGCAGAAGAGGTTCACGAATCTTAAAAGTTGGTATGCTCCCCTTCCCTTGTGTTAGCTAGATTCAAAAAAACCACTGCTTTATGTTGACACCCATGGCTGGCTAGCACAAAACCCTCCCTAAAAATAACTATCTTATTTCATCAATTCAAAAGTAAGAATGCTGAATGGAGATGGGCACAAGCCAAAATTTGGCACACACTTGGACCGGTTTGGAGCCCCCAAATCAATGTTTGGGGAAGGCACCTTCCCTGAACATTTACTAGACTTTTGTCTGGTTTGGTTGTTTGAAGCCATTTAAGCTGAGTGGTGGGGGGGTAAGCCATTTCACTGGTAGGTTGTGTTCCCCCCCCCAAAAAACCCCCCCCCACCAAACTCACTAGACCAGACCAGCTTGGTTTGGTGGGGGCCTTTTGGCTCGGTTCGGGGGCCACCCTGAACCCCAAACCAAGCCAGGTTTTTTAGGTTCATGCCCATCCCTAGTGCTGAACACAGCAGATATCTTTTTAAGCAGCAATTCTTGCATTTCAGTTCAGTTGAATGGAACACGATCTAAGGAGGAGCTCTTCAACCATGTGTATGGGTACATCCAGAATAGCTTAGAACTGATGAAAATGCTGGTAAGTGTTATGTATGACATAGTTATTTGCTGATTACCTGTAGAGGAGAAACTTGAAACATTGTATTTGGAAGTCACTCACTAGCTGCCTCTATTTTGGACCCCTGGAGTTCTGGTAATTCCAGGCAAAACAGAGTGAAAATAGTGGAAACAAGAATCCCTGCATTCTGTGCATGCTTGCCCAGAAGTAAATCCCCCTAAAATAATTGGGATAATCACTAGCAACAGTGAAGCTCCATTTTAGTATCTGAAAGCTAATGGGAAGGACAATTGCCGGCTTAGGCTTCTGCTGAAGAGGCTGTTTCTTTTGCAAGTGTAGATAAATTAGCTATACTCTAGAGGGGTGGCCTACAGCTACTGCATACTTGTTAATGGCGAATGTACTTGGACGTGGGTTTTGTAGCCCCTACTTTTTGTAAAGTCCCCCCTGCTGTTTTAAAAACTGAAGTAGCTTTTTAACATCAGCAGCCTGTCTGTGCAATTCCAGTTTAACCCTCTGCTGTTTAATGTGTCTCAGAAGCATCCTCGGTGAACATTCACAAAACGGTTTTCTTACCATTGCAGAGCTAGACAAGCAGCTGGTGGCATCTCAGAAGTCCCAAGATGCATCTTTTCAGTAACTTATTTTTTTTTTTACACGTGCCTGGCTTGGCAGTAAAGTTCCAGCTTCTGTGAAGATTCTTCCTTTTTTGTTAAAGGAGCTGTCGTGTGTGTCGTCCGTTCCCCCCCCCCATTCTTAAACTTTCTTTATTCAAGTTCATCTATACATTATATTTAAAAAGAAAGAAATTAAAGTTCTTAAACTAAGTCTTGCTTGTCACTGGATTTCAAGTCAGGTCCAGTAGGGTCTCTCGACCACTGCCTCTGCCCTGCTAGCCCTCCAAAAAATCCTCTCTGGGAGGGTACAGCAGGCAAAGAAGGTGCTGGCACTGCTCAGGACCTGCTTCCTCCTCTTCTTTACCGCCAGCAGCTGATTTCTCAGTGTCCAGGTTCCCCAGAGGGAAGAAGGAGGTTGTGCTGTTCTGCTCGCCTGCCAAAGGCCTCTTGGTTCGTGACCAGTTTCAAGACCAAGATGCTGTAGGCCTGGTTGCGGCACTTCTCAGACTCACAGCAGCAGTCCTCTGAACACTCCTTCTCCTGCTTCCGGCAGCCACAGCTGACTAGGGATGTGCAAAAAAAAAAAATTCGGTAAAATTCGGATTCGGGTTTATTGGACCCGAATTTTTTCGGGAAACCCGAAAAAACCCGAATATCTATACCGGTAAAGCATAGATATCCGAAAATTTTCGGGAATCCTGAAAAATTCGGGTCCATTGTAACCAATGGGGCCATTGAAGTCAATGGCAAAAATCCTCTTGAAACTTTGCGGGGGGCTGGGGGGGAGGGGGTTTGG